AAATATTCTGAAATATTCTGAAATATTCTGAAATATTCTGAAATATTCTGAAATATTCTGAAATATTCTGAAATATTCTGAAATATTCTGAAATACCTCCAAAGAACCTAGGAAGGAAAAATACGTTGACATAGGTGACTGCTACTTAAATTCAGTAAAATTCAAATCCCTGTGTGCAAAAATCAGAATTGATAAGGTTTGTAATTCAGGCTAATTTTACTGACCCATTAAAGAAAAGAAAGTCCTGGAGTGCTACACGTGATCCTTTTGAAAGGAAAGGTGATAGGATGTGGTGGTGCTGTTCACACTTCCTGCTTAGTGGTTCCTGTTTGGCTAGAATGCTGATACTGAGATTTTTGAACTGAATTTAAATGTTCTGCACTTCCAGCACTTGAGCCTTGCTGTACTAACAAAATATGTAAATGCTGAAGTGCCACTGATACGTTGGAGCAGTCTTATTTAGCTGCAAGTAAGAGGCAAACAGTGACAAATGAAAAATGTATTAAGATGTTATGGGTGCTTCTGAAATGTTCCAGATTTTTCCAGTTGCTAAAAGTGATGTGATTTTAAAAGAAAGGTATAACTGGCTTAAATGACTTCTAGAGCTACTGGATGGAGACAGGAAGGCGTCTTCCTTGAAACAGTAGTAATGGAGAGACTGTCCTGAGGGAAAACTATCATTTAGCCTGTGTGAAAGATACAGACCCCCCTAGAAAGCATGTTCAAATGCGGAACAGGGGATTTCATTTTTTAATAAAAMATAGCATGAGTAGGGGACAACTGGGCGTTTGCCATGTGTTCTCTCTAATGCAGAAATTGCTTTCACCCCTAAAGTTTGCCTTTGAGATAGAGTACCAGGAAGGAGGAAGTTTAAAAATAAAAACTGAAGGAAAGAAGGACAAAGGCACACCTTAAACTGCTGTGCTGTTGCTGCCTAGCTAATTGCTGTTGATACTAGAAACATTAATTAACAGCTGGTTTAACATTTTGATTGAAAAATTCTTGGTCATACAGTCTAATTATGTTCCCTTTTGGCAAATGCATCAAGCTGTTGTTCTGAAAGCCACTCGTTTTCCATCCTCAYAGTGGAGCCCTTCTGATTTCCTGTATACTGTGTATTTAGCTTGCAGAATAAGTATTTTTTTACAAGCTTGACTACTATTTGCCCTTAAAATTAGTTTACATATTCATCTTCCTGTTTAATGACAAACTGCTACTAGGCAATGCAGTTATCTGCTGTTCTTTGTGATGTTTCTATCATTCAAATCTAAATGCATGCCAACTAACGAGCTCACCTGGGTAGACAAAGAATGTTAGTGCTTCTGTGGTCAGTGCTATGGCTTGTTCCTGTGGTCTGTTATCCTTGAGAGGCTAGAGACAATCTGTGTGTAAGAATATACTGTATGCAGCAGAGAAGTAGCAGTCTGGAATGACTTAGCGCTGCTAAATTGCAAAGCAAATGTTTCAGGTGCCACTTCAGTATTGATTGCTCAGTGAGCGTACTTTTGAAAACTTTCATGTTAGTGTCTCTCTTGTTTGTGAAGAAACAATATGGGTGTTGCTTCATGATTTATAGAAGCTTTCTTGTCATATGCTTATAAGTGAGCATCTGGTTCTTTATGACAGTTAAATAGGCACAGAATATAGAGATAAGGTATATTTTTTCTAAAGTAAACATCATAAAGGTGAGGTCATTTTTTCAAGATTTTTTCCTACCACTCCCCAGGCAGTATTTACTTCTGTCATCTTTTCAGAAAAATGCTTTAAGCATATTGAGACAATTATTTTAATTATTTAAAATAATCCCTCTGACTTCTGGGATTACCCTGGTGATGCCTTTGGAAGTATCTGCTTATGGGATAAAAATTGCTGCAGAGAAGCTCGCCTGTGCCCCAGACCCTGCAGCTGCAACCATGAGCTCTGATGCTGGGCAACACATGTTCTCCTCTAACCACCTTTCTGGGACATTATGCAGGCCATGCTTCTGTGGAAGCTGTTTCAGTTGACTGGAGAGGAGAGAAAAAGARGAAAGGGGACCTGGCACTGCTATTCTTACTGCTTTTATTACTTGATTCCCCTTMATATTTTTTTTCTTTTCTTAGTGCACTTTATGGTCTTGCAAGAAGACTTGAAATTGTTAATGGCAAGTGTCATGCAAAGCCATTCTAGCATCCAGATAAAGGTCAAGGCAACTCGCTTACTAGAACATCACCATGCTTGGTACTGCCTATTTGGTTTCTTCTTGCTTTTAGTGTCATGGATTTGTTCAATTATTTCTTGTTTGTTGTTGTTGTGTTGTAGGAAGGCCGTAGTGGTACCTCTCAGGAGTGGGAGAAAGTGAAAGACTTACAGCTTGACCTGCATGGATGAGTGTATTTAGAGGGCATCATGGCAAAAACAAAAAGGGAAGACAAGGATAAACCCTGGTATGAAAGRTCAGCTTTGGCTGTGAGGTACTGGTTGTGTTCAAATATGGCTTCTGACAAAAGGAGGACTCTGGGCATTCATAAAGTACATAAGGCAGCATTTTCTCTAAAACTCAGTCTCAGTTATGATAATCTCATTTTCAGTATTATCAAGATAATCTCTATGATTTTATCATCTCTACTGTCTTCAGTTGCTTAAGTGCAACGCAGGAGAAACTTTAATGAATTACCAGAAGTTAAGTCTGGGATGTTAGAACCTTTAACCAAGATAGTAAAGGGTACCTTGAGACACTAAATTGATCAAATGAGGTTCAAATCAAGAGTTCATGTAAGCACAGAGATAATTTTGAGGGCAAAGTACTTAGATACTTAGTATCTAAGGAAAAAATGACTTGGACTTGCTCTTTCATATTCCACACATTATGGGAGGGGATTAGAAGCAATTTAAAGAAGATTTTAGTTATAAAACTATATGGAGAGATCTGTCCTTTTTGAGAAGTTTTGAGATCTTACAAAGTTCCTGTGAGTTCTCCAAAAATAGACATGAGGAGAAAGAAAGCAAATATACATGACTACCTTTGAATAGTTGTGTGGAAACTCATCCTTTCCTACAGGTGCTCCTTTCCTACAAATAAATTTWAAAAATCATATTTTTGCACAACTATGAGATTCCCAAGATACCATTTAGAAGACTGCAAGCCGGTAGAAATAAAGAAAAACAGCTCAATGCCAGTTCAGTGGCTGTGAAATCATGTGTCACTTCAAAAATCAGCATTTTATTACCAAATTTAAACATCTCACAATTGTAACAAACATAGCTTCTCATTTTAGTTATTTAATTTCCTAATCCTAATTTAAACCAATGCTTTACAGAACTGTTGGGTCTATAGTTATAATTTTAATCAACTGGATCTAAGTGTAGACTAGCACTTGTGGAATCGCTTCGGATAATGCTTGGTAGTATTACTGAGGGGGGGAAAAATATAGTTTTGGCAATACAAAGACAAAATACAACTGAATAGGGAGTAAAGAGCTGCTGGGCCTATGTAAAGGCTGGCTTTAATATAAGGAGATAGTTAAAACCAGGGGTACATTTAAAAGCCACAGAGAAAAATGTGTTGAAAAATTTTAATTCTCTGAAAGGCCAAATATTATACTGGCTGCCAAGAGAAAAAAAAAAAACCACTGCAGTTTCTGACAGTATGCATCAATAATCTCTTCCCATCTTTGTGGAGAGAGATATTTTAGAAAACTTAGGTTTGCACACTTAAATGTCACTGTCCCCTTGTGCTATAGAGGAGGAAAGAGGGAGTTCAGAGCAGTTAAATGCCTTGGCAGCCTCTAGAAAGGGCAGAGCACCCCAGAACTGTCAATTCCAGCATTTTTTCCCCCTCTTTGAGGCCTGGGCTTTTTTGTGGGTGGTAGCTCATGCTGGAAATGATTATTAAAGCCAGTGACTCAGCCCAGGGAGGCAGCCACATGTCAGGCTGAGCAAGGGCCAGGCCTGGCTGACAGGGCAGGTGCTTCTTAGGCAAAGCAAGTGGCTTAACCGAAGTTCCAGTTCTACCTCTATCAGGGTGTGGAGTCACCCTGGGACCTCACCTGCCTTTGCCTGCCTGAGTGGGGAAGAAAAGTCCTCTGGCTGCTTCTGAGGCCAGTATGTAGGCGCTGGATAGGAAAGCGAAAACGCTTCATCCAAGCCCTGCTTTAACCAAGGCGTTGGGGGCCGTTAGGGCCGGGCCCCCTGCCGTGCCGCCTGCCTCGGCGCCCTGTCCCTGCCCGCGCGCTACAGCGTCCCGCGCGCGGCCGTTACCCGTCACCCCCCGCGCGCGCAGCAATCGCGACCGTTACTCGTTCCCCCCAACACCGCTCCCCTCGCCCGGCGGCTGCTCCTCAGCGCNCCCGCGCGCTACAGCGTCCCGCGCGCGGCCGTTACCCCACGGCTCCCGGGCGCGCGGCCGTTGCGACCGTTACCCACCGCACGCGCGGCCGCTCCCCTCGCCCGGCGGCTGCTCCTCAGCGCTCCCGCGCCAGGGTACTGTGCGGCTGCCGCCTCGCAGGGCACTGCTCAGGGCGAGGCACTCCCGCGCCTTCCAACGTCCCCGCAGCACCGCCAGCCGGAGTCGCCCGCGGCAGGAGGCGGGCGCGGGGCTCGCTGTCCTCTTGGCGGCGCCGCGCCGCCCCTCAGAGCCCGCTGCCGTAGAGGGCCCGCTGGCGCAGGTGCTCCTCGAGACACTGGATGGCGGTCTCGTCCACCAGGGGGTCGAACTTATTGGCCAAGAGGTGGTGCTGCCGGAGAATCCAGGGCAGGTCGCCGGTGCCATAGATGCAGACCGCGCGCTGGTGGCGGCCAGTGCAGGGCGGGTAGGGTGCGCCCTTGCTGGTGTCGCCTTCCAGGTACTGCCACTTGACTAGGCGGGCCACGGCGTTCATATCAGAGAGCTCGAACTTGTCATTGTACGGCATGGCCCCTGGCACACCCGGCATGCGGTTGAGGGTGGCCCAAACATGCTCATCGGGGCTGTAGGTGTCCTTGGCCCACTCGAGGAACTGCTGCACCGTGGGGCTCTGGAAGAGGTGCTCCACAAAGGCCCGTGTGGCCACGAAGTATGCGTTGCCTGTGAACATGGGGGAGCCATGCGGTGGTGGCGTCTTCTTTGTAGTCGTGCGGAAGATAAAATGCGTCACCTCGTGGTGGTACTGCCAGCGCTGCTGCTTGAGGGTCGAGGGCTTCTCAGACTCCATGCTGTTCTTCCCCTGCAGCAGCTTCAGAGTGCGGACGATCTCAGCATTAGTCTTGATGGGGAAGTCGGTGCCGCAGGTGTTGAGGAGGTAGTGCCAGGGCRTGGGGCTCTGGAGCAGGTCCTGCATGCAGTTGAGGTCAGCCTGTAAACGGGACCAGGAGGCATAGACCACATCCTCCAGGCGGCTGGCCACAAAGACGTTGGGGAAGCAGGCAGCGATGGCTCGCACAGCCTCGTGGAAGGTGGCTGGAGACTTGCTATCGACATGGATGCAGTAGAGGTTCTGGGGAGCATAGATGGACCTCAGGAGCCGCTCGAACATCTCAATTTTGTCGTGGATAACCATGGAGTAGGCGATGGGGAACTCGGCCTCTTCTGGGCTCAGTGGGAACTCGATGAAGCGTCGCATGGCCCTGTAGTGCCCACAGTCCCTCGTCAGGTTCAGGTAGTCCTCGGGCAGCCGGAGCACCTTTCTGTTGGCCACCTCCAGCCTGCTGAGGGCGGCCGCCTGGATGGCCGCGGTATCACCACGCACGATCGCTGAGCAGTTGATGCCTCTGTCTGCGGAGAGCGTGAGTGAGCGGTAGAGGCGGTCGCGGCAGCGGGGTTGGCTGTCGGTACCTGGGTGGCCATCCCGGCAGGGYCTGGTGGCACTGTGCAGTGCCACAGTGGCCACCAGCAGCAGCAAGCCCAGCAACAGTGCGCAGCGGCGCCGCGCTGCCGATGCTAGTACCTTCTTGCCACACAGCTGCATGGCCCCACGTGCGGCCCCACGGGTGAGGAGCGGCCCGGCACCGCCAGGTACTGCTGTGCTGCGTGAGCGGTGTTGTGCGAGGAGAGAGGTGTCAGTGCCCACGGTTTTCTGGAAGCTGAGAAATCGCAGCAGGGCAATCTCTGCCGTAACTGCAGGTGATTAATAAAAGGAAGTCTCCTCCCTCTTCAAGGCGTGACTGCCTCTGGTTTTATCAATGCTTAGGTTCTCATATATCTTGGTATGTTGAGGAAAAAAAAGGTGGAAAAATGAGCAGGTGTTATGTCCTCAAAAATGCAACTCTGCACAACACATTTTTAAAAGAGGCTTTACTAGCTGACTTTRGCATCTGCTTTGGTTTTTATGTGCTCATAAAATGTCGTCTTACAGGTCAAGGCAGTGACAGCAATAACAACACAAGGTGTATTTTAGTACACCTTATTTAGGTGTTGTACACCTTCACCTGTTGCACACCTTTACAATGACATCAGGAAGTCTGAGCCTTTCTGTTCATGTGAAGCATTTGGAGCCTTAGTTGAGGACCATTGCAAAAGGGGTGTTGATTAACTGGCCAAGGTGGAACCTCTGCTTCTAAAACAGGAGCAAAAACTATAAAGAGGAGGCCTTGTAGTTTATAAATAATTTGCCACAACGTGTCCGCTTAAAGGAGTTAGTGACATGATCTCCTTGGAGCKCATTGGAACCTCCTATAGGACCTGCATGTAATTCCTGGCAAGGTCAAAGCAATTTATCAGTTACTGGAGAAAAGGGGATACCTGTCAATGTCTAAAATACAGCTTGTGTTATGATGAACGAAATAATACCTGCTGGGTTTTGTAGTCATCTTGGACAACACAGACAGTTATAATTTAACRGCAGTGTTTGGTACCTTGTTTGCAAAGTAGCGCTAATGTCGATCATTTCAATGGTAAGTTGAAATCTCCGTTTTAATGGAGGAACTAGGAAAAAAATGGAAACTTTGTGTAAGGCTTCTTTAAAAAATAAGCATATGAGTAAAATTTTACATTCATAATGGAAAGGAGAAATGCCGGATTTTTCTAAGATACAGAGGTGTGTCTCGATTTTCTTTGGCTGCCTATGTATTCAGGTCAAACACACAGAACTTGTTCTGGACTGAGAACCATTGTTTTCAGTGCAGTTCACTGTGTGGTTCTCCAACTGATATTGTTGTGTAGCTCAGTAAATAATTGCCTCATGTCTGAGGTCCAGGAATTCTAATTACAGAAGGCAATGATGTGATTTACATAATATTTCCCTTATTCTCCGAGGTGATTGTGCTTAGGAAGAACATGAGGATAAGATATGGGAAATGTAGCGAAAACCCTGAGATGTTCAAATTGCTTTCTTATGGCAAGGAAGAAATGTGTCTTGTCACATATATACCTTGCACCTGAAATTTGTAAACTATTTTAGACTCATAGCAGACTTCATTTAGACAATTAAAAAATGTTTTTTTTTTTTTTTAAAAAAGAAAGGTTCTTTGAAAAACAGTTTGGAATAGGAGGAAAAATATTCCTTTCAGTGCAGTTTCTGCACTTCCAAGTGGTTGTTGTCCAGGTCATCCCTGTTAGACCCCCTTGCTGCGTTAAATGGAGAGATAGCAAGCTTATATGCTTGGGATTTTTCCTAAGTAAGCTTGTTTGTTTCCTAAAGTAAGTGTCTTCGATTTATTCTCTACTGTGATTGCAGTATGAGAATATTCCTTTCTTACAGCTCTTGCTTGTGGATTAGTAAAACAAGAACATATTGTACATATTGTGTAGGATAGTGAATGATCTTTTCTGCTTTAAGATCCTAGTTGTATATGTTTTGACATTGGTAGGTGGGAGAAATCTTTAAGTTCTTCAAGCTGAAGAAAATGCTGAGAAATCTGTGACTGCACATGAAAGTTTTTAACAGGATTTAACTATGAAAGACCAGGTATGTGCATTTTTAAAAAGAGCTTTTAAAAATCATGCTGATGTGTTTCAGAAATACTATAGAAAGTAATGACTTAACAACTCTTTCAAGTAAGATTATTGTTGATCGAATTAATTGGGAACAGAGTCTAAAGTATTTATAGCCCATGAAGAAATTACTAGCTCAGAAAAGGATGCAGAAACACCTGGAAATCGAAGTTCTTTTTGTTGTGCATAAGCTGAAAGGCTGGTATATTAAGAAAACCTGCAGCCAGTTAACGCTTGCCAGGACAGATGCTCATCTAAGTGTGTAGCTTTGCTTTGCCTGGCACTGTTTTCTGTCTAAGTCAATGCACCCCATACATGAAGCCTGTAAAAACCATAGGAACAATTCCTTTTAATGCCTGATTTTTCCCTCAGCAGGAATCCTACATCCTCTCCCAGCCAACCTAGTCGGTCTTCTCCTAGCTGCATCCCAAGATCATTGGAATCTACTTTTTTGAAGAAATGTGGAATTTTTTGGCAACCAGCTTGTTTAGAAATTGCTAGCTCTCAGTGCTCACGTGAGCAAAGCTTCCTTGTGAGGTCTCTTATGAAGAACYGTGAGAGCAACCACGAACGCTCCCTTAGTAGTTGAGGGCTTGCTTTGTTTCAGCAGTGCATTTTAAGTGAATTTAGCATTACTACTCCAGCCTATTGTTAAAATGGCAGTGTCCCATTAAAACCTAAGGGTAAGGTCCTCAGAAGATAATTCAACTTGACCTGTCTTGAGGAAGGTTACACTAAACAGAGATATTTTTCAGGAATTTGAAAAGAAATTMTTTAATCACATTTTTACATAAAAAACATAGTTTTTTTTTTTTTTTTTAAGAATCGAGAATTTGTAAGGCTAACCTGAGATTTGAAATAAGGATTTTCAATATTTTAGGCAAACTCTTGAAGCTGATGGTATGTTTGGTGTCTGAATAATGCCAAAGGTTGAAAAACAGCCTGTAAAGTGGCAGCTGATTGCTTCAGTGTTTCATACTGGACAGTGACAGGCCATGTGAGTRTGCTGATACCGAACAGGCTATAGGAGTAGCATACTGCTGACAAATGCTCTTGTACCCTTTGACAAATATCAGACATAATTGTCAAAGGACAATCTTTGGACAAGTTATCTTTCTTGATAACTTTATATAACAGTAAATGTTTTCTTAAGGTAAGCCTGATACTGAATAAGGAAAAAAAGATTTATCAACATTATATGAATTTAGTCACAAGTTCATGGATATGAACATTTTTTGAACATGGGGAGATTATTTGGATGTTTCTGAATGTATGCAGCAGGAGGTATATGATCTCAAAGGTCGCTCAGGTAACTTTATAAGGTGCTGCACCCCTTCTATATGAGAGCAACTGCCCTGCCTCTATTTTGCGGTGTGTCACATCATTCTGCCCTGTTTTGCTGGGTTGCATATATTATATGTGTATATACACACACACACACACACACACACACACACACACACACATTTCCTTTGCAGTGTTTCTGTGCATTAAATATATATTCAGATTTAAGGTCTGTTAATGTTCATGCTTAATACAATCAGAAAAAGAAAAGGAGAAAAAGAAATATATGGGTGTTTGCTGATGCTTGGTGAAGCAACTGTTAGAAATTTAGATTGCGATTACAAGCTTCATGATATCTACAGGCTCACCTGCACAGAGTTAGCTCATAGAAGGAATATAGCTTTCCTCAGGAAAGCAGCAGGGTTTGGAGGAATCAGATGGAAGTCATGGTTGCGGGAATGTGTAAGGAAAGAATTTTTTTTTTTTCAGATGTAGTATCAGTCTCTTTACTATGACTGATGTAGAAGTGATCAATTTTGTTAATTTAATCAAGCAGTATTGCTTGATTAAATTGCTTGTGTTAGCAGAAGGCTTTTTTTAGCTTCCTGTCCAAGAGTGTCAAGTTATTATTCTTTTCTAAAAGTTAGAATTTTGTGTGTTCTGTTATAGATTAGTCTGTTATAGATTAGTCTATAGAGAGTTTTGARGAACTCCACTTTAAACTAAAATATTCCTTTTAAGTTACCAGATCATTACTGTCTTTCTAATTCAGTTGTTTTAATATTTTATATCCCTTCTGTTTTCAGAAGAGAAACTTATTTCCTGATGACTAATCCAGAGGCATGGTATACATTGCAGGGTGGCTTTTCTTTATGATGGAGAACTGCTTTTAGGCATTGCTAGCTAGCAGGGAGCTTCTGTAATAATCTCGTGTTGATATTTATGGCACAAAGATGGCTATTTAGCCTCTATGGGCAACAGCTGTTATGGGTAACAGCTGTTTGGCCTCTGTGTGTTGTACACATAGCAAAGTAAATAGAGGAAAGACCTGAATGAGCCGTAACTGTAGGCAGAAAGCAACTTAAAAATGTGTGTGATACCAATGAAACACTGACTTTTTCAATCAATTTATTCTTTTAATAGATGAGGAGGAGATACAGTTTTTCTTTTCCTTTTTTTGCCTTGCCAGAAGGGTCAGTACCGGTGGTCCTTCTCTGAAAGTGCCATTAAGTACCATTCCTTTGCAGTAGCAGCCTAGAAGGAGTGGGCACACAGCTGGTTTGCATCTCCCTTTTACATTGTGCTGTGTCTCATAGAGCAGCTTATTGAGTGTAGCTCACTGAGACAAAGAAAAGTCTTTGTTGCTCTCCCCTCCATCTGTGTCCCTGCTCCCCCCTCCCCAGTTTTTTTTTTCCATTTGAGTTACTTCTGATGGAGCTTACTGACCCCTATGCTCTTCAGACTCTGAAACCTCTAATAGAGGGGTTTGAAGCTTGCAGATACTTAAAGAAAGCCGGTTAAGAGTGCTTAAGACTTTTTGAAATTACTTGGTCAGAATTTATCCCTTTTGCAATTATTCACAAGTCCTCCAAGTTAGAAGAATCAAGGTTCAGGAACCAGTTTTCTCCATGGAATATGCTCTGTTGCTGAGGCACATTCAGTGCCTTCTATGAAGGAGGTCTACAAATTCACTCAGAGTGGACACACTGGACGCTTCCCCTCCTGCCTTTATTTTGGGAAATCTCAATGCTT